GAGGGAGGAAGTCTCGTGGACTGCGTCAACATGAATATCGTATAAAAGCCAAACGGCTGAAGTACAACGAAATTCATCCATCTTTATCTTATGAGATTGACCAACGAATCTCTTCTTTATGCACTTTCATTCGAAATGATGGTCCCCCTAACATTTATGGATCGGTTAGTAGTGTTTTAAAGGACGAAATGGACAGACGGCATCTCAGAGCCGTTAGATTTCGCTTAGTGGTTCTTCACAGAACGACTTTTTTATCTGAATTTGACTGTACTTTCTACCTCACCTGTGTCTCCAGCATTCCTTCGAGCTTCAAAACTGGTTGAAATGTTTGCTCAATTACTTAGTTTGGAAACTTTTTAGGGATACTGATGAGACTTATTTAAGGTCAAAACTATTCACTTTTAACTCATCACCACTAGGTTTCATTGGGAAAGCAGACCATTCTTTTGTATTATTTTAATTATCTTTATTCCTGAATAGGTGTCGTGAGATCATCTTAATTATCTCCCCACCGTTTATATTTATATTTTTACTTCTAATATCTGTTTTCACCTGCGTAAACACCAAGACCTCCATAGAATTACATTATGGGGCGCGACGTACTTCCTCTCTCTTTGATATAGTCACTGCTAGACAAAGCTACATGTTGATAAGTAGTATGCGTATTCTGGCCGGAGCTAGCCAGTTACCTGGAAAGAATGTCCCACTTTCATTCTTGTTGTTATAGCTGATCTGCCTTGACGTTACTTATACATACTTGGCTTCAAAAATCACATCGCTGACTCAAATTAGATAATGCTGCATGATAAATTAATTTGGGCTACGGCAAGATTATCATATCGATGCGAATATTTATACACATCTAGGTATATTTAGTATATGGAATATTTCGCTCGCTAATTATTTTGTTTCAAATCCCTTTGAAACTGACGTTGGACCGATATTGATAGTCTATCTCTTCTCAAAATGCATCTCAACACAGACTTTAAGCTTCCATCTATTCATATTCTAACTTCCTCTACTTTCAAGAGTTTATTTCAATCTTGCTAATGCCCTCACTATATTAAATTTCTTCTAACATTTTAGTCCTAAAAATTAAATTTTTCCAAGAGAAAATAAATGATATCTATAAAGTTACATAAGGTATTATCTTATAAATACAATACTATTTCTGGAATTTTGGGAGAAGAAAATCATTAGTTAATCTGTAGTTAAATAAATTTCCTTCAATAGTTCTCTGGTGGTGGTCTTGGCGCTGTTGGCAGCGGTGGCGGAGGAGTTGGCACTTCGAAAAAATTCATCGACGGAATCCAAAGACCAAACGATCGAATTCACGGCTTTCCAACTGTTGCTATCTACAAAGGCAATCGAGTGGCCCTTAAGCCCTTTAAGCAACTCGCTCTTCAAAAGACAACACAACTCCAAGCAGAGGTTAAACAAGTAAGACTATCTCGCTCTTATAAGAATTTAAATCTGTTCCTCGAGTGGCAGTTTTGTTGTATTCATTTTGCTAATATTACTACGGCTTTACACTTATTTAGGTTCTCATGTTTGATCCGTCTCGAATAGTCCATCCTAATCAAACCTTTACTGCCGGACAATATCTTGATTCTCTTCAGTCAGAGCCTTTTACTTTCTCAGATTTAACTTGCATTCTTGAAAATACAATTCAACCTATACCATGACGAAAGTAGTTCAAATATATGAGATTATTTTAGTATAATAAGTAGTATTTAAAATTAACTGAAACAAATTATATAAAGACTACGATGCTGTGGTGCTCGGTATGGTAGCAGTCTCGTTTCGATTTATATAAGTGGGTTGACCTCGTTTTCACAACTTGGTCTTGTTGTCAGGGTGACTTAGTTGAACGCACCTTGTCTGAAATCATCTGCCATAGTATTTATCATAATTTACAGCCTCACACCGTAGACTTTGTACATTCTCAGACATCGTATCTGGCATCATCAATGAGTCCACCATTCTCCGCTTCATGCTACAACCTCGGCGACCTACCCACTCCTTACTCTCTTATGCCACTCCCGCCCTATCATAACTTCTGACTTGTTTATATTTCACTCGTCAAACGTTGTGCCCTTTTTTGGCAAGTTTAGTGTGACCCTCTCTGGCCCCTCTCTTTCGATCGGCAAATCCCACTCGGGTGTGCTATTCGGAGCTCTCTCTTGGTCCCTCACCAGCTTCTTAGTCTTTTATTCTTACTGAGTCACGAAGATTTTGTGGCATAATTTCTAGGATTAGTAACTTGCATATCATCTTGTGGTGATCCCTCTCTGCACTTTCTCACTACATCTACTAGTTTCGTTACACGACATCCAAATAACCACTAATGAATACTTATCGGCCTAACCCATTCACTGCGGATGGCGATCGTTGACATTTTTTTTGCTTTGCCAAACCTACCATGACATCTACTATCCTACAAAATTGTGCTCTTTCACAAGAAGCCCAGTCAACCGCCTGACACAATTCAGTGGCCGAAATTCACACTGCACAGGGTATTCGACAAGAGGAGCTCCTGGCAACTAAATTCCACAGTCCCCTCTTCATTTTGACAACGTTGCTTACTCCTTTTGGCGCCTACATCAGCATCTTGCCTCAATGAATCGCCTGTGGAAGGTACTGATGTTCGGTCCTTTAAAGCTTTGCATTTTCAACCAAGACAGCCTTTTTTCTGAATTTCGATCATTGCATGCCACTTCTACGCGATCTGCCCTATTCTCCCTTGCATCCGAATCTGCGTCTTGGCAAAATCCGTTGGGCCTCCGTATGAGAAAGACAGTTCTCATTCTGTGGCCAAAGCAGCCCTTTAACGACCGTGTCGCTAAATCCACGTTAGTATCAGCATCAAAGTTATTTCAAATTCGTGTGGCCTCACACCAACAGCACTCTATTATCTTATTTCGATTCACACCTTAGCTTATATATATACAAAGTACTTTTTTATTGTCATTGCATACCTATGTACATCAAATTCTGTACAACCTCTACCCAACATCCCTTCGATTTTTTTCTTTTATATCGGTCCCGTTACCAGTCACATTAAAAATCAACTTTTATCTCTTTTATGGAGGCCCATTTGTATTACCCATAATGTATAAAGAATAAATAATGCGGATTTTAAAGAATATTTTGATGTTAAAATTGAAGCTAATTAGCCATATTTACACCATATATGTACGGATACTTACTTTAGGTTGACACTTTTTCCTTAAAGACTAATTAATTTTTTATGATAGATCAAGTCACTTCACTTATTTAAACTGAAATTGGCTATGCAAAATGTCAGAATATAGCATTAATCTCATTATCAAATCTCTAATTATGGCTCTTTTTCCAAACCTACCGTCTTACGCCTCAATAAAGCCTATTTAATGTAAATAATAAATTTTTATTTGTTTACTTTTCATTCAAATTCTAGGTCAAGAATCTAAGTTGCGATCACTTATGCAGATTAATCGGAGTTTGTCTGGACCCCGGCTACGAATGTCTTATAACAGAAT